TTAAAGCATACCTTCTAGTCATAGTCTTAATTCAAAATTTTCTTATTGGTACCTGCCAACAGATGCAGGAAACCAATTGAAACAACTTCCAGCAGTCCTAAAGAGAGATTCTGAGGTCTCTGTGTAGTGAATCCCAGAAAGACTGAAGACCAGGCCAGCAATGTTCTTGCTTTCATCGGAGCTATGTGCCTCAGTCTCTCAACTACAAAGTGAGCAACCTGATTGACAAAAAGAGTTTTAGTTTCTCTCAGCTCCCTTTCCTCTTCTGTTTTACCTTTCATTTTTCTGGATCTTAGAACACGCTTCAATTAAGACCTTGGTTTCTTTTAAATAGAAGCTGGTGCAAACCTGGGCAGGTCTAAGATTAGACCTGGACTAGGAAAAGTAGGGCTTAGTGGCTTAAAGGTAGCTGTGGCTGCAAGTATAAGGAGAATGGAAGAAGTAAAAGAATTCAGTTCTTCTACAAGTTCAGTGACGGCTCTGATGGTACCTAAGAGGGCTAAGTAACCTCATGCGTGCTCAAAGGTTTCAGTTGGATCCACTGGGGATGAAATGTCAGTACGTTGCTTATACTAAATTGTGTTTCCCCGACCAGAGATTGAACCTGGGTCATAGCAATGAAAGCCCAGAATTCTAACCACTGGGCCACTAGGGAACTCCCCTGGCATACCTTTTTAATCTCTTCATTTCCTTATCTTAGAAATTTCCATCAGTTATCAGTCTACCATGAACTTGTAACCATGCCTGATGGTCAGACACTCCATCCCCACTGTCTTTATATCTACCCCTCCATCTTCTCTAGAGCTCTGAAAAAAAGAAAGTTTTCTCACCTTTGACCAATACGCATATTTATTTATTTATGGCTGTGCTGGGTCTTCATTGCGCGCAGGTGTTTTCCTAGTTGTGGCAAGCAGTAGCTACTCTCTAGTTGTGGTGTGATGGCTTCTCATTGGGGCAGCTGCTCTTGTTGCCGAGCATAAGCCCTAGAGTGCGTGGGCTTCAGCAGTTGCAGCATGCAGGCTCAGGAGAGGGGGCGCACCGGCTTGGCTGCCCTGTGGCATGTGGGATCTTCCCAGACCAGGGATCAAACCGGTGTCTCCTGCATTGGCAGACGAATTCTCAACCACTGAGCTACCAAGGAAGTCCCCCAATACGTATCCTGATTCATGCAAATAAATGAAACAAATGCATGGAGCAGAAAGGATTGATTCTGTTCGTGTTAGCTGGCTTTCCTACTACATATTTATAGACTATTAGAACTGTCAGAAACCTTTCGGGGAAGCCCTTTCAATAGTTCAGCAATTCCCAAACATAACTCTATGAACCACTACCAGAATTTTCTTGTTTTTGCTCACTCAGACGTGTCTGACTCTTTGTGACCCCATAGACTACAGCAAGCCAGGCTCCCCTGTCCTTCACCATCTCCTGGAGTCTGCTCAAACTCATGTCCATTGAGTCAGTGATGCCATCAACCATCTCATCCTCTGTCATCCCCTTCTCTTGCCAGAATTTCAGCTTCTTAAAAATGCTGTTTCCAGGACCCCACCAACCATCTCGTCCTCTGTCATCCCCTTCTCTTGCCAAAATTTCAGCTTCTTAAAAATGCTATTTCCAGGACCCCACCATCTGTATTTTCTAAATGCTAACTGGGTGATTACAATATCCAGACAGGATTCTGACTTACCTTTATTAACCCATTTATAAATGAAGATAAAGTCATTTTCTCTGTTTATTTTTACTTTTTTAAGGCTATTAGAAAATTTAAAATTATGCAGGTGGCCCAAATTCTATTTCTTATGGACAATGCTGTTTTAGAATAAAGAGGCTGAGATCAGAGGGAAAAAAAAAAAAACAAACTATGGAATATATCAAAGGTCTGCGTGACACGATGCCTCCGGGACTACATTCATGAAACCTAGTGTAGAATTTTCACCTACTGTGGAAACCACAAGTCTTGAAGAGCTTCTGATTGTGCTCAGAGATAATAGGTGTACCTGCCCCTACTCTGCACAGAGGGGGTTTAATCAGATAGAGTCTGCACAGTTTTCTGTGGCTTCTCGGCCTCTGAGCCTATACAGGCAGTAAAGTGACATTACCTGAACCGAGGCATGAAACCCAGGGAAAGGGTAAGGAAAGACAGCTCATAATGACAGCCCCAAATCTTTTCATATTGTATCCAGGAAAAGGAGTAACGGAGCTTTGCCATTAACCCTGGTCTGAAGTTGACTCCTCTCTCACCACTTCTGCCCCTCCAAGTGGCACTCCTTTGGGAAAATATTCCTTGATCTTCCAGGATTGCTATAGATGCTTCTTCTCCATGTGCCCTTGGTGTTTCTATAACATTTATTACACCATTTTGAAGTTGCCTTTTTACTTTTCCTTCTTCCCTATAGACTCTGAGTTTCACAAGTGGAGACAATACTGTGTTACCCACCTATACTAGAGTGATGGGAATGATAAGTACTGAGTGAGGGGATGAATGCATGAGTATTATTTTCCTTCTTCCTTTCGAAGAGAATAACATCACAGCATTACATTCAAAGAAGAAAGATGCTTTGTAAGTGTAGGTTCGTTCAGTGGACAGAATATAAAATTTGTTGTTAGAAAACTGATGTGAGTTCTAGTTCTGGCTTTGTTACTTACTAGCCATGTGACCGTGAAGAAGTCACTTATCGTCTCTGGACTTGATCCCTCATCTATAAGATGAGAGGTTGAATTATCGAGCTTTAACATTCTTTCCAGCCCTAAGATTCTGTGAGATGTTGAAGACAGGGCAAATCTGGCTTTCAATTGCTGGCTTTTTTCCAGACAAGCAATTCAACAGAACAGCTGAGATTCCCAACCTTTTGCAGGGGCCTCTATCTTCTCCCCCTCCTCTGTGTCTTAGCAAATATTAATAGCCAAGGGCCTCACTGAATGTGGTTTTTAATAGAATCCAATTTCAGTCCATTTAGAGGGAGACTTTTCATGCTGACTTGGTAATTTGAACTCTGTCATGCCTGATGGACTGAATGCATTTTCCCGGTCTGTGCTGCCTGCCCTGGGCTGGTGGGGAGAGAAAGTGTAGGCAGTGGGAGTGGGCAGCAAGGGCATCTTAATCTAAGCAGCTGCAGATCAGCTATTTTGGCCTCGCGGCCAGCTTTGTCTTTCCTGTTCTGAGGCATGTGATGTAGATACCAGGGCACTGGAAGGAGAGTGGGCAGCGGTTACCCTCCTTCCTGACACTAGCCTTCTCCTTGCAGCCTAGAAGCTGCCAGCCTCTGGGAGAAACTGCAGCAAGAAAACTATGTTGATCTTTGGATGTGACTAGGAAACACTGGATTCTGAAAGCCAGCAGAATTACTCCAGCCAATTGCTGTGGAGTCTGATATGCTTGGAGAAGGCGTGCGATGGAGGATGGGGCTTCCTCTGCTCCCCTAACCCCCAAGTAGCTGTTCTGTTTGATCAGAGAGTAACCCAGGGGACTGTTGAAAGTCTCCTTTCTTCTAGAGTGCAGTCTGGGAAAATACCCAAGCTTAACATACAGGTATTAGTAGTCACACTGTAAATGAGGAGGACTTCCCTGGTGGTTCAGACGTTGAAGAATCTGCCTACAATGCAGGAGACTTGAGTTTGATCCCTGGGTGGCAAAGATGCCCTGGAGAAGAGTGGCAACCCACTCCAGTATTCCTGCCTGGAGAATTTCATGGACAGAGGAGCCTGGCGGGCTACTGTCTATGGGATCGCAAAGAGTCAGACAGGACTGGGCATAAAGCTAGGAAGAAAATATAAATGAGGAAGCTGAGGCTGGGGGAGGGGAGGAAATTACTGTTTATTTCATGTTTACTCTGTGCCAAGTACTGATCTAGAAGACAGGTATTTCTTAATCCTCCCAACAGCCTTTCAAAGGATATGACAGTATCCCATGTATAGGTCAGGAAAATGAGGATCAGAAAAGTCAAGCAACAGCCTCAAAGTCACACAGCTAGTAGACACCAAACTGGTATTGAAGCAAAGCTCCATATATCCCTGCCAAAAGACATCCATGCTGAAAGATCACAGGATTTGAAATAGTGGAGCTGGGTGTTCTGATTTTCTGCTGGTCTACTTCGGTCTTGGCTCCTTTACCTGGCTGGTCAGCAGAAACTCTTTAGGATGTTAAAAAAACGTTTGTATCTTGAGCCATCATCTCCATGATTCAATGGATCTAAGGCTGAGACTGAGGGTGATGTATTTTAAAAAAAGCTGCTTCAAGTGATTCTGATGTTTTGGAAAGCATAGCACTGGAACATGTAGCTTCTCTTTTGAACCAAGTCTCTTAAAATTTCTTCAGTTCTCAGAAGGACAGATTCAGTCCAACTCTACACTTACTTCAAGTGATATTTGCCACTGAATCCATCATTCATTCCAGGTTCAATGCCCATTTGTTTACTGAGTATTTACTGTGTTCCAGGCATTGTGCTAGGCATTCTAGCTGTGAAGATGAATAAACCACAGTACCTGCCTTGAGGAACATCCAGGTAGTGGACCAGAGAAACAGAAATAGGAAGTTCTAATTCCTGTTTGTAGCAAATGCTGGGCAGAGGTAGGCTCATGTTGTTTTATGAATGCAGACTAAGCAGTCATGGAAGACTTTCAAGCAGTGAGCCCTGACAAGTCCTATAGGAGGTAGCAAGGCAAAGAGTGGGTTGGAGGGGCGAGTCACAGCCAGCCAGGTGGAGGGAAGAGCATGGGAAGACCAAGAGACCCTAGAACAACGGGCTCAGGGAATCACAAGAAGCTGTGTAGCACTGGAATGTAGGGAATTTGGGGAAGAGGACCAGGAGGTGAGTCTGTGTGAGAAATCATTTGAAAGACTGTGTGTTTTATGCTGAGTCTGGCCTTTGTCCTAAAAGTGATGAGGAGTCTAATAAAGATTTTTAAGCTGAAGTGACATAATTGGATTGTGTCTTGGAAGGACCATTCTGATAGAAATGAGAGAGTGAAGAGTAAGCAGAAGAAGCTGGCAACAGAGGAACAAATTAATTGTAGAATTAAGAATTTATGTATGTCAAAAAGCACCATAAACAAAACTTGAAAGCAAAGCACTTGGAAAGCATATTGGCAATGTTTCTCGCCAAAAACAATATTCTTAATAAAAGTACATATTGATAATAAAGATAAACATACCAATATCAAGTAAATAGAAAAATCACAAATAAAGAAGTACAAATGGCCAATAAGCACGTGAAGATGCTATTCACTAATAAAGGAGTGTGAATTCATGTAACATTGATACACTATTATTTTCCTATCAAATTGGTAAAGATGTGATAAGTGATAATACCCACTAGCAGTGAGGGTGCAGGGAGCAGTACACTCTCAAGCCTGCAAAAGAAGAGTGCTTTGGTACAAACTTTCTGAAGGGCAGTTGGTAACATATATCAAATTTCTTAAAGATAGCCAAATAATTTCCTTCTTGGATTTTACCCTAAGGAAATAGTCCTAGATATGTGCAAATTTTAGCTATGAGAATGTCTGTTGCAACGTTATTTACAGTAAAGATTGGGAACAGATGAAATAATCACTATCACAAGATTGGTTACCAAATGAAGGTCCACTCACCCAATGAGGATGCTGTTGAAAACACTTGGGAGATGCACAAAACATATTATGTTCATGATATTGTGAATGAAGTACCACAAGGTGCGGAAAGTGTCCAACATGCTAGCAACTGTGACAAAATAGATACAGAACTTTGAAAATGCGTAACTGTCTCTGTAAGGAGATAGAAGTAGTTGAAGAACTAGAGGCTGGCACACAGGGTGGGAAGAAGATTTACTTCTGACGCTAGAGCTTTTCGTACTTCTTGAACTTTGTACCTGTGTATGTATTACATATTCTAAAATATAAATACACATTTTGAAAAGTAAGTTATTAAGGAGTATGTACAGTATGATCCAGTTTCTGTTTAAAAAGGATGTGCATGTGTACATTTATACCAAAAAGAAACATTCAAAAGGATAACAATATCTGTCTCCAGTAGTAGGATTATGGGGCAGAATTTGTCTTTTTTCCCCCCTAATATTTCTACCATACACTTCCGAGACTCTCATAATAATTACAACAAAAGTGTAATTTTTTTTCTCCAAAGTCTCTATCACCAAAGTCCCAGCAGGAGATGACAAAGCAGGTCAAATCCAGATTGAGCACTCCAAGTTCAGCTCAGTAGTGACATTTGCAAACAAAACATGTATTAAATGATAGTCCCTGTTTGGGGGCGGGATGAGGAGAAGGAAGCTGAAGGTTTGGTAAGGTGAACAAACCTCATGTTGCTCACCAGCTGTCTGAAGTCTCTGGACCAATGCACAGAAAATTCAGTCCCACCACCTCAAACATGTCCCCAGGCAGCTTCTTCCTTTGGGATCAGTGAACTTGTGTCACAGTGAATGGAGTTCCTAGCATGCGTATCTACATCACTAGACAAGCAGATGGCCTGGTTACTTGCTCTATGAGGTCCCACAAAATTGTCCTCAACTACTTCTGGGAAGGATGGCAACGATCTTAACATCACCTGTCCAGCCCTGCCCCAACTCTTGGTGAGGCAAGACCCTCTCTTGCTCCACATTGAGAATAGCTCCTGAGTCCTTCCTCACTGCGTGAAGACCAAAGAGAGACCCTGCCAATTTGAACTGGTTCTGCAGGCCACCTCTGACCTCATCTTCATTCTTTAGATCCTAACGAGCAGTCTGCCAACTCACAGACTTTCTGGGATGGAGGCTTGGGAAGGGGAGAGGTTTGCACGTTTGCCTGTACTGTGTGTACATGGTCTTGAGTTGGGGTCATGTGAAACCATTTTGGAGGAAGAGAACAGAGAGAAGGATATGGTTGAGATTGGGGAGAATGTGGCAGCAATAACAGTTTTTTCCCCTGTTTCCCTTCTCCAGAGGGTGAGCTACAGGCAAGCAGCTGCTAGACCCTGGATATTTCTAGCACCTTCTTGCAGACCCCACTGGAAGTCTTTGAGGAACTCTGTGAATATAACCTGTGCTGCTGGCTTCTGGACCCTGAGCAGTGATTGGATCCTGCAGTGCTGAAGCCTCTGATTAAATAAATAACCCATAATTAACGTGTTTCCTTTCATTCTCTACCTATAATTGTGACTCTTTCCCAAAGCTGGGGGTGGAGTGAGGAATGCTTGGTGGATTGTTGGGATACACATTGGCCCATCAGCAAGTAGAATGAACAATACACAGAAATAACTGCTAGGTCTCAGCTGCCTTTTCTACCACTAGGGAGTCAAGTGCTAGGGACCATTTTTCAACTAGGGCTAAATAGCAAAAGGTGGCCCATGTACCATCATTGGCATCATCAGGGCTTGTCACACATACTGTCCTGCGAAGATCCCCTGGAGAAGGAAATGGCAACTCACTCCAGTATTCTTGCCTGGGAAATGCCATGGACAGGGGAGCCTGGCAGGCTACAATCCACAGGGTCACAAAAGAATCGAACATGACTTAGTGACCAAACAACAACAACTATCCAATATAATATTGAATTGGTCAAAAATTTCATTCCATAACATCTTATGGAAAATCCCGAATGAAACCTTTGGCCAATCCAGTACTTTTTAGGGCAGCAACTAACTACAGAGTAGTTAACAGCTGAAACTCTAGGGTCAGACAGACTCAGTTCAAATCCTAGCTATGCCACTCATGGCCATGCAACCTTGGACAAGTTTTCTGTTTCTCAGGTTCCTTATCCATCAAATGGGAATAGTAGGGTAATTACATGAAAGAAATGAGATTATACATGTAAAGATCTGAGGAGAATGCATTTAATAAATGCTCACTATTAACATTATTGCATCTGTATATATTTTAATTTGTACAGTATTGTCTCACTGATCACACAAAAAATACATGAAAGTGCTTTGAAAATCTTAAAGCATCATATAAATTAAAGGTGTCATTGGTAATAATCTCCTACGACTATTTCTCAACTCTTCCATCTCCTTGAAGACCGGGGCTACATCCTTCGTCCCAGGGCATATTGCACAATGACAGGCAAACAAGAAGCCCTCAGTAAATGTTTCTTATTTGACTGAAGCTACATGGCATCGCAAAAAGAGCATAGGTATCTGGAGCCTAGGCTGGGATAAAATGAGTTTAAGGCAGGAGAACCAGTCTGCAGTCATCATTCACTCAGTCAACAAATATTTGTTGAACGCATTCTACGTGCTAGATATTGAGTCCAGATAATTTCATCAAAAAGGGGCTTACAGGTTCCCACCCAGCCAAGTCCCTGGGCAGTCTCCACAATCCCAGCCTACTCTAAAAGCACAAAGGCGCAGCCAGCATTGCACACCACTGGACAAGTGGCCCATTGCCCTTGGGGAAGCCCCATCCTGCCTGGCTGTAAGTAACTCTGACTGAGGGTTGGGGGAGGGAGTAAAAGTGAGGCAGTGGGCTGCTTCCAACAGAAGTGACAGGGACTGCTGCCTGTTCATTTATTTTTATTCACACTTAACTTCGTCCACAGTTCAGTCTCCCAGTCTACACGATGCTCTGTCCCCTAGACGTCACCTCTCCCTCCCCCCAGTCCTATGTGGTCAGTCCTTGGCCCACTCTACCCTGACCTTCTGCAGTCACAGCTGCCTGCTGGGCGGGAGTCTGGGGGAATGGTATGTGTGGTCACCAGCGGGCACTGAGAGTGGGTTTCGATGGCATGTGAATCCTGGCGGAGTCTCAGATCCCCAAGGGGGAGAGGAGAAAGCACAGAACAAGTCAACGAGGGAGGGAGGGAGGCAGGGGCTGAGGGTTCTTGGGGATGGTGGGCGGGCATTGTGTGTGTGTGTGTGTGTGTGTGTGTGCAGAAATCCAGTGTGCAAATTCTCGGACTCTGTGGGCTTAACCGATGCCTCTGGTGTCTGTCTGGCTCCTGGATTCGTCACAGTTGCCGTGAGATGCTCCAGTCTGTGAAGAAGCTGTGGAGGGGTCCAGCCCGTGGGCTCCGTGCCTGACGCCTCGGGGAGGGTCCACCTGCCGGGCTCTGCCTCGTGTCAGGAGCGCTGGCCCAAGTCGAAGCTGTAATGGCACTGCCAACCTGTGACAGTCCTCTCCGCTGTTCCCGTCAAAGCCGGGTTTCTTTCAGCGGCTGCCCCTCCTGAAAGGAGGCTGTCTTCCACTGCCGGGGCAGCCCACCAGATTCCAAACCCGCAGGTCTCCTTCCGTGCACAAAGAGAGTAGATAAGGAGATGAGGGGTAATAGGAGGAGGAAGTGAGGAGAAAGGAACAGAACCCAGGGAGCGTCTCTCCACCACGCGGTGCTTGGGTGTCCCGGGCCAGGCGCGGCTCTAGAAAGGTGTTCTGGTTACATGGCTTCCTTCTCTCTCTGGGAGCATCTGCTGAGCTTCATCTCCGTCAGCTGGATATATCGAATCACATTGGTGTCTGTGAGGAGAGAAATACACCTTAGGGAACAGCTGGTGAGGGGACTGGTGGGTCTACAGGGGATCAGACCGAAGCTGCATCTGCAGATCACGGACAGGTCAGGCTCACTCAGCCAAGGTCCAGGGTGACCGAGAAGGCAACCGGAGTGCAGCTCCTCTCCTTCCCTGCCTCCATGGGGACAGGTCCCCGTGACCCAGAGGACAGATGGGAAGGAGAGGACAGGAGCGAGAATTTCTTCCCTTATTTCTGTGCAGTAGCAATCCCAGTGGTCCTCAGTCAGCTCAGTGAGTTGAGACTTTTAGTTCAGAGTTAGCTACTGTTTAACCTCAGGCAACCTACCCATTTCTTTGAGTCTCCTGTCTTGTCTTGCAAGAAACAACCTCCATTTTTGAGTGTCTACTTTGGGTCATGTTTTTAACTTTCACTGTCTCAATGAGCCCTCATTAGAATCCTGTAAGGTATGTCTCATCATCCTGACTGTGATGAAAATTAAAACTGGAAAGATCAAGTCAGATGCCCAAGGAGATAACACATAGTCACTGCACCTGACTCCAAAGGCTGCCTCTCCCAGGGATTGTAAAACCTTCCTCATAAAACTGCTGAGAGGATCAAAATAGATGTCTAAAAGCACTCAATCCAAATGATCAGTAAATATTGATTGATTGTAATTTTTTTTAATTGGAGAGTTTAAAAGGACTTGTGCTTCATTGTCCGATTTTGCTCTTCTAGGCAACCACCTGACCACAAATAGAAGAATTTCCAATTCTAATCCTTAAGTTAGTGAGTGGGAAAGGACAGAGAATAGCTGTTTAGCCCCATACACACCAGAATATAAGAGTTTCAGGGCTGCCTGAGATGTCTACTTCCAGGAGTAGAAAGGAATGCTGTATAATATCCCCAAATGCCACGCAGGGCATTCAGAACGGTATTGACATATAGCAAGTACTCAAGAAAATTCTGTTGAACAAGTCTCATTCTTGGTCCTCAAGTTGCTTATAGTGTAGTTGGGGGAAAACAAATTATATACAGAAAACAAATCAACAACATAGAAAGATATTAGTGTTCTTAAAAAAAAAGAAAAAAAGTATATTGGGTATTTGTAAATTCATTCTAACAAGATTCCTTGGAAGGAGAATTGCATTTTTAAAAAATCAGCCATATGAACAACCATGGCAACAGCAAGTCAAAGTCAAGGTTTAAAACATGCCTCCTCAGAGAGGGTGTTCCTGACCACCTGGTCTGCAATAGCACCCACTTTATTCTTTATCCTTTGACTCTGCTTTATTTTCTTTATAGCACTTAACTACTATTAAACATTACATTATCAATCTGTCTGTTTAGCGTCCGTCTTCTTCCATTATAACACAAACTCCTTGAAGGCATCATCTTTGAGCATCATTCCCTGCTATTTGCCCAGCACTTGGAAGAGTTCTTGGCCCTGCTTCAGTATATATCTGTGGCATGAATGAATGGTGGGGCTGGTGGCCATGACTTAAGTGAATGGTACAGATAATGCATGCTCTGTTACCTGGTATCTGCCTGGAGGAGCATTCTTCCTGGAAGAATGTTGGGCTTACCCTCCAAATTATCCATTTGTATTCTGTCTCATCAACCAGAATGTGAACTCCTCACGCATAGGGACTGCATCTTCTTATCTACATCCCTGGCAGCCAGCACAAATCTTGACACATAGTAAGAATGCAATACGGATTCAATGAATAAGTAAAGAGGGCTGGATTCTGGGTTGGAAAAATGAAGAAATCCATATCCTATCTAAACAGAAGAGGTGCCCAAGCTCCCTGGAACTCAGATCCCAAAGGCACGGACTCTGTGCTCTGCTTCTTCCAAGACCTAGCACTCACCTGGCCCCTCACTTGCCATTTCTACCCCTGCCTGGCCCTGCCAGCCAGAAAAAGCCGACCTTGGAGGTGAGATGGTCTGGGAGCTGCCCCTGGGGGCTGTTGGTGAAAAGAACAGTTGCTGCCTTACCTGTTGGCTGTCGGGTTCTTGCCTCTTTCAGGTAGTAGAGCGCTTTGTCGTAGTCTCCAAGGTGGTAGAAGGCCACACCAGACCGGTAAAGGGCCTTGAAATTCTCCCCTTCTTTCTTCAGGACTTTGAGGCAGTACTCCTTGACCCGCTCATAGTTCACCAGCTCAGCCTGGAGCAGGCAGGCTGCAGAGGAAGGGGGCAAAAAGGGAAGGTGCCATCAACACAACAGCGGCAGCCTCTGGATGTCTCCCTCTGGTTCTTCCTCTCGGACCAGTAAAGGTATATATACTATAGACGCCCGGGCTTTACAGTGGGCTCTATGCCATGGAATTTGTCATCAAATGATCCTGGGTTCTAGGATGCAGTTTCACCATCAACAAGCCATGTATCCTTCAATGAGCAAGTTACTTGGCCTTGTATTATGGGTTGAGTTGTGCTCCCCGCTGAGGCTGGCCATTGCCTATGTGGGGCCCCTTCAGTCATCTCTGAGTAAACCGTCTCCCCTGGAAGCTTTCTCTCACCAGCCGTCAGTCATAGGGCCGGGGTCAGGGTGAGGAAGCCTGCACCTGGAGACTGAGCGCCTCCTTATATATTGTGCCCCGGGTGCGGGGGTGCTCATTTGCCTCACCCTAATCCCAGCCCTTCTGAGCTCCCTTGGCCTCCATTCTACCACTCAAGCATTTAGCAAGCATTGACGGAAGACAAAAAGATGTGTTATACACACTGCAGGAATGTTTCAAAAGGGTGGCATGGGGAGCAGGGCACCTTCTTCAAAGCAAATAAAAGCAGAGACTTGGGAGGTCAAACTGTTGCTTCCTGCCAAGACCTGGCTGGTGGGATGGGGGAGGCTGCCGATGCCCTGGTCCTTTGCGCTAAGGTTTCTCCCACAGTGGAAGAACCATCCTCTGGATAGAGGCAAGTCACAGATTTTAATCTTTAGGGGGTCTAACTAGAGCTGTTTTGATTCCTTAAATAACTTCCCAGGGATCTGAACTGCTGATTAAGAGGCCAGATCTTTCGTCAAGCAGTTTGGACCAAAAAAAAAAAAACCCCAAATGAGAAACATCCTCTTTTGCAGACTGAGTGGAAGGTATGAGAACCAGGAAATGGAAGAGAAGCAATCCAGATCTGGAAACTGCCCCACCAGGTTCCACCAGCCACAAGGCAGAAAGTCACACTTGTTGACAGAAGCAGCAGGCTGCTCATCCCGTGGGCATGGGCGGGCCCATCGTGTCGGGCTGATGCCACCAGCACACTCCCCTCTCCTCCCTCAGCCGTGGAGTCAAGGCCCTTCTGCCCCCTGCCCTCCCCCTTTGCTGCTGGAGTCTGCCCTGGCGCTCACACAGCTCTGCGGATGCAGTTCTGTCAAGGGCCTTGAACCTCACTGGCTGCTTGCTACCTGTGTGGGACTTGGCTCCAAGCACTGCCCCCAGGGCTACAGGGGTGCCTATCCGAAACGTCTCTGTGTCCCATCTCATGTCCTCTGTTCTCTGCTGAGAGTCTTCTTCCTGTCCAGCCCTCAATTCTCAAACAGACACTTCTGTCTGCTGACCCGAGCAAGGCAGAGGACCTTTGTTTCTTTTAAAAACAGGTTTTGAATGTCTAAAATTGGGGGGGGAAGCAAAAAGGCCTGAAAACGGGAAGGCCTTCCCCTCCCCCTCCTTGAGCAAAAGAATGATAGCAATCAATTTCCAGGTCTCATTCGGTGAAAATGTCTGGAATTCCCCTGCTGATCGGGTGTGGGCTGTGAGACCTGGCTGTGGACCAGGGTCCAGGCTGTGTGGGCGGTGGGGCCAGGCAGGTTACAGCGGGTGGAGGCCCTACCAGCACCAGAGGCAGAGCCCAGGACGATGGAGGAATCTGGGGTGAGCTCTAATTCACACAGGCTGCTTTTCCAAACGTCTGGATGGAGATGGGGAATCCAGGTAAGAAAGGGTGGCAGGCCAGAGCTCTTAAGAAGACCGAGGGTGGAGAAGGTAAGACAGTCTGGATTGTACTCAGCCCTTCCTACAGGTAATTTTTAGGCACCTCTCTTGTTTGGGTGTGGAGTTATCTGGGGTGCATATAAGAAGCCCATGGGATAAGTAAGATGAAATGTTGGTAGGCACATTTTAGAGTTGAGGAAGTTAAGAAAGACAGGTTGACTAGCAGTCTCTTGATGTCCCATCCACATTCCTCTGCGCACTACCCAGGGCCTGGGGGCTACAGGAGACCCTTAGAATAGGTCTAAGGGTCTATTGTCCCACTGCTTTTACTTCCTCTCAATTATTAATCTCTTACCCTGTCAGAGGTGGTACTCATCTTTTCATCTTCAGATCAACTCTAGGAGACAGGTTCTATGTTATGCTTCTTTTACTGATGATGAAATCCAGTTCCAGAGAAATTAAGTACCCTGCTGGAGGTGGCAGAATTGTGATATCCTTCCACTTCCACCTGGCTCCCAAGACCGTGCTCTTGTCTCAGGTATCTGTGGGTCTGCGTGTGAAGCCCTTAGAAACCACGTCACTTGGTAAAAGATAGGGCACCTGTGTAAACTGGCCTCCTCTGTGTCCTAGGGTCAACAAAACAAAAAATGATGCCTAACTTCACAGAGTACCGCATAGGGCGCTGGGATGAGGTGATGAACCTAACACTCCACTCCATCCTGGAGCTAATACACTGCAGTGGAAAGCAGATGGTACATTATCTCAAATACTCCCATGTGCCAAGGGCTATGAAAGAGAAGTGATGAGTAGGAGCCTACTGAGGAGGGAGGGGCCCTAAACCAATATCAAGTATCATGGAAGGGCTTCTTGGAAGAAGTGGTGTTTAAGCTGGGTTCCAAAGGTTGAGTGTTTCTCAACTTCAGCACTATCAATATGTTATTTTTTGTTGGGGGGTGGGGGTGGGGAAATGTCCTGTGCATTGCTGGATGTTTAGCTACATCCTTGTGTTCTACCAACTAGATGCCAGTTGAAACAAGCAAAAAAATAAATATCTCCAAATATCACAAATGTCCCCTGGGAGGGGCAGGATCACCCTTGTGTGAGAACCGCTGATCTAGGTGGAAAGAAGAAGCTTTCTATAGGGAACAGAGCTTCCCTGGTGAGTCAGACGGCAAAGAATCTGCCTGCAATACAGGAGACCCAGGTTTGGTTCCTGGGTTGGGAAGATCCCCTGGGGAAGGGAATGGCAACCCACTCCAGCATTACTGCCTGGAAAATTTCATGGATTTTTCATGGAAAAATTCCATATAGCCTGGCAAGCTACAGTCCATGGGGTTGCAGAGTTGGACACTACTGAGCGATTAACACACACATATGGAAGAGAGAGACAAAGAAAGGGGAAAGGAAAGGAAAGATAGGAAGGGAAGCAGGGAGAGAGGGAGGGAGGGAGGCAGGAAGGAAGACTGATTACACCTATTTGAGGAGCTTTGAGAAGCCATGCCCAGCTGGAGCAGAGAGACTGAAGGGAAGGGTAAAACGGAATAAAGGTAGAAAAGCAAGATGATATCAGGACACATGGAACCTTCTGGTTCATGTTGAGGATCTGGGACTTTATTCTTAAGGCAAGAGTGTATCTGAATGATGAAATGATGGTGACTAGGTCGACTCAAATGGAGGCAGAGAGGCAGGAGAAAAGGATTAATGTAAGTGGCACCCAGGAGTTAGAAATGACTAGCATTAGGAACAACCTGAAATATGTTTCCTCTGCTGTTACACCCATGTGCTTAGAGCCCTTTATCCCAGGAGATTTTAGACTGCCATTTTGGATTCACTGATGATCCATGAGAAGTTTTCTTCCACATTGTAGCAACTTGATCTCTGTTTGAATTAAGGTTTAAAATAACAAGTCTCTGTGCTCCACTATACAGCAGGGATCAATATGCTAAAGAGTGCTGGGTTGAGACTCATAAGAGTTGGATTCTAGAGTCACTTTTACCACTAGCCAACATTACGCAGATCGCTTTCCCTTTCTGGGCCTCAGTTTCCTACCTGTCAAACGACTCCACTTCATTGAGTCATCTCTACCATGCATTTCAATCTAACAGCTTATGAATATAAACACTCGCCACCTAACAGAAGGATGAAATTGTCTCATTGGTTCCTCTTCCAAAGGAATTCTGTTCTGTTACTTTAGGTAGGCATATTCTGGTGGGAAGTGAAAGAAAGAGCTTGTCTAACACAATTCCACCACTTCCCTGTGGAGGTTTGTTTGGGCACAGAGATTGGATAATGTTCGGATGTGGTCTTCCCAAGCCAAAACTCTGAAATTTTTCCTGCAGGATTTTTCCCTGCAGGGAGTGAGTGCAGCCACTGCCGGCCAGTCTCTGCAGAGGAGAGGGTGGACCTGGGAAGGCAGGTCTCAGGCTGGATGGAAAGGGGGCTTGTCCTTGCCTGTGACCTCGGTGTATATTTGGATCTGAAGATGCAGTTATTAGGCGGGTAGGGAGACAGATGGAGATGGGCCTGGGCTCCCAGACCACCTTATCTATTGATAGAAGCCCTTTTGAAAGAAGTATTTTGAACTTTCTGGTTTGGGGTCTTCTGAGAAGTTTGAATGAATGCAGCATCCTGGAATTAGCCGAGCAGGGGAGAATTAAGACAAGCTTCCCTTCATACTTGGAAAGGAGTGCCTTCCCTGAGCCTGAGCTGGTGAAGCCGAGGCTGGTGCAGCTCACAAGGGAGAGGTGAAACTGGAGGACAAGAGTTGGGGCCGTGAATCCTGTTACGCCCCCCCGGTGGAGAGTCCTCTTCCACTGCCGACCTTGGGGAGTTAGGGTATGGTTTTATGGAAAGAGCCTGGCAGGCTTTCTCAGCTCCATAGAGGAATCTGTAGTAGGAGCATGTTAGAGAATCAGGAACTTGAAGAACCCTTTTGTACAAGCGCTCACACACTCAGACAGAGGAAATCATAAGTTAGATGTTGCCCAAGGCAACCACACCAAGACCTCTGGCTAAAACATGTCAGGCTCTCTTGGCCCCGACACTTGTTTTGCTTCTGTTTTTCCTGGTGCATGCAGGGCATGGTGACAGCCTGGGCAAAATGCCACTTGTTGGCATGAGATGAAGGAAACTAGATGGGAGGCGGAAGACCAAGTTCATGGAGCCATTGGTTTTCTTCTGACAGTTGATTCACTGCTGTTTGCCCTTACCTGCTGGACAAGAGGGGAGCATGGGCTGGACGGGAGGAAAGGAAAGACC